CCTCAAATAAATCAATCGTTCCAAGGGTTCGATTTTCTGTATAACGTGGCACTTATCAAGCAAATGCAGGCACAATATGAAGCCTCCAATGTTGCCTGCACCCAAGCACTCGCTTACATGATGCGTATCCAACCCAATGGGCAGGAGGTAGAGCGATCTTTCTCCGAAATTGCAAACATCTACCTGTTGCTCGCGCAAAATGATTTTGCCCGCTATAAAGCACAGCCCAACGCCAAGCAACTCCTGCTCGAAACCGAAGACCACTTAAACACTGCCATAAAATATATGGAAAAAAGCCTCAGCCCCAATAGAATGTTTACCGAAGTGGAAAGATCTCTGGTAAATGTCAAACAAAATGCCATCGAAGACGCTATGGCGCTCTTCTTCCAACTCGCCGAAATAGAGCACAACCCACAGTACCTCAATCAAGCATTTAATACACAAGAGACCTTCAAAGCGCTCGAGCTCAAAAGAGCTATTAAAAATGATGAAGCCCGCACTTTTGCCGGCGTTCCCAATGCGCTCACCGAAAGAGAAAAACAATGCCTCAAACAAATTTATCTGCTCGATAAACAACTTGCCGGAACTCCAACCTCCAATACCTCTGCCAAAAATGCCAAGTACACTGCCGATCTAAATAACCAAAAGGTGCAATTGATTCAAGAATTGGACAATATTTTCTTCGAATTGCGCGCAAAATACCCGGCTTACTACGAAAAACTTTATCAAAATACCACCGAACCTATCCCCAATATTCAAGCTATGCTTGACGTTAATCAATCTATACTTGATTATTTTATCGGCAACAAACATATTTATATCTTTGTCATCAACCAAGATGATTTTCATGCCTATACCGTCCCCAAAGATTTCGATTTGCTCCAAACAACCAACCTCCTCCGTAATGGCATTTATGGTTATCACCTCGATACGCTCCAACCGGAATCGCTTTTTGAGTCCTCGCTAAATCAATATGTAGAAAGTGCACAACTTCTTTACAAAAAACTGTTTGCCCACGCAGAGCCATACCTTCGCCAAAGGGTTACCATCATCCCCGATGGTGTTTTAGGGTATATCCCGTTCCAATCTTTGCTCACAGCCGCACCCGACGATTTATTAGACACCCCAAGCTATCCTTTTCTCCTATATAAACACACCATTAGCTACACTTATGCCACCTCTTTGCTCAAAGAAATGCGGCAAAACAACCTTCCTAATGCCAGCCAACCCAATCTTTTTTTGGGTTTTGCACCATTTGCGAACAACAATTCCGATGGCGTCTATGGCACTTTGCCAGGTAGCTACCAAGAAATCGAAGCTATCCAAAAACTGCTAGGTGGACGTATTTTTGCGAATTCCGATGCCACCGTTGCGGCTTTCAAAACCCAAAGTTCTACTTGTCGCGTTTTGCACCTTGCCACACACGCACGCGCCGATGAATCTCAGGGCGAGTCGTCTTACCTGCTTTTTGCAGCTAAAGATAAAGAAAACAGCAAAATATATATGAATGAAATATACAACATGAACATCCAAGCCGAACTGGTTCTCCTCTCGGCATGCCAAACAGCCATTGGTCCCGTCAAACGCAACGAAGGAGTCATCAGTCTAGCACGAGCATTTTCCTTCGCTGGAGCGCGATCGCTCGTTACCACACTTTGGAGCATCGACGACCATCATACTCAACTAATATTTTTAGAATATTACAACAATATCATGCATGGGCAAAACCTCGATGAAGCCCTCACCAACGCACAAAAATCATACATAAAACAGCAGCGTGATTTTTCGGCACTCCCATTTCATTGGGCAGGCATCATCCCCATTGGAAGCATGGAAAATCGATTGAAATAGACTGCATCCGCCCCTTCCCGCGGCTCAAATATGTAGCCACACTGCTTCATCAGCCAAAATCATTAGGGCAGCCGCCCAAAAACCGCCTTCGGGCGTATTGCTAAGTTTGGTGTTTGTTCAAGGCGGTTTTGGTCGCCGGGCTATCCGTTACAATAGCCCTTTGCGCGCCTTTTTTGTCTCCGCTCCAAGGGCTAGTGCAAAGAAAAACGTCCTCCTTGTGCATGTTTTTTCGATTAATTTTGGTAAAAAAGGCGCACAAAGTGCTATTTCCACTCCTATCCCTGCTGCGCGTGCGTAAGGGATAGGAATGGATGCCGGCTAAAACGCCTTGTACAGATACAAACTCCCCGCCAAATGATCAAAGGCGTTTTTTGCCGGCAGCAATGGATAGCCCGACCGCACCAGCCCTGCGCCTGCCACCAAGCTATCTCCTCACCCAAAAGGGCTGGTGGGGATACGCCCAAATGGATTAGAAAAAAATGCATTCCATATTAAATTGCGTATCTTTGCAGCATCAAGCCTTCGGGTTCATCGGTGTAGGCGTGGCTCCTACACACCTAACTAATGTGAATATGTATAGAAGTATCATCGGTTTTTTATTGTTTTTCCTATTTCTCCAAGCAAAAGCCCAAGTATTGGTCATCAATGAGCTGGATTGCGACTCTCCTGGCGTTGATGACAAAGAATTTGTGGAAATAAAATCCCAATCACCCAATTTCAATCTCAATGGATATGTGTTGGTCTTCTTCAATGGCTCCGCAGCAGGCGCCAATGCCAGCTATCTTGCCCTCGATTTGGATGGCTACAACACCGATGTCAACGGACTATTGTTGATAGGAAGTACGACCGTTTCACCCTATCCACAGTACATTATTGAGCCCAATATTATACAAAATGGCGCCGATGCAGTGGCTATTTACCAAGCCAATGCAACCGATTTTCCGGAAGGTACAGTAGCTTTCGTTGCCCCAACCTTAGTGGATGCATTGGTTTATGGTACAGCCGATCCCGATGCTACAAGCCTTATTGGCATTTTTCAGGCTTTTCAGCCCGGCATCATGCAGATCAACGAAGGCGCCGCCAACAATACCAATTCGATACAGCGCACCAACACAGGTTCTTATGTCTCTGCAGTGCCCACTCCGCGCCAACTCAATGATGGTAGCGGTATTTTGCTCAATGGCATTACAATTTCTACGCCTCAGAGTAGCTATACCGAAGGGGAAAGTTTTCAAATCACCTTTACTGCAGAGCAGAATGTTAGTACGAACCTGACTTTTAGTTTTACACTGGCCAATGGTTTTTTCAAGGTGTTTGATTTCACCGGCAGCACTACTGTAACTATCGTGGCAGGACAAAAAACAGCATCAACCACCATCACAGTTGTAGATGATACGTTCGATGAGGGCGACGAAGAAATGCTTATCCATGTCAACAACTTGCCAAGTAGCTTCTTTTCGCTCAATAACAATGTCATTGTGCGCGCTGTGGACAATGATTTTACGGTTTCTGCTTTCGGTACGCCCATCAACCCTACTTATGGTTTGGTGGCAAGCACTTATCCCGCCAATTACTACGACAATATTGTGGGATTGTCTGGTGCTAATCTGCAAGATGGATTGCGCAATATTATAGCTGATCCTGCTGTAGTACGCGCACAAACCTACGCCGATGTGCTTGATATCATAAAGCTTGCCGACCAAAATCCATTGAATAGCAACCAAGTGTGGATGGTTTACCTCGAGCAAGGGCGCTCCAAAATAGATCTTCAGTTAGGCTCCGATCAGACAGGGAAGTGGAATCGGGAGCATACCTACCCACGCTCGCGGGGTGGGTTTGATAGCATAGAAGCAGATACCATTGCCGATGGAAAAAATGTGTATTGGTTCACCAATGCAGATTCTACACGACACGCCAATTCGGATGCGCATGGCATACGCGTGGCAGATGCTGTAGAAAATAGCAACCGAAGCAATCAATTTTATGGGCAATATAATGGTCCTTCCGGCACGCTTGGGAAATTTAAGGGCGATGTAGCTAGGGGCATTTTTTATTTGGCTGTCCGTTACAATGGCTTGGATGTAGTGAACGGATATCCGGAGGGCATTGTAGGGCAGTTCGGCGATTTGGCTACTTTGCTCGATTGGCATCGCAACGACCCCACAGATGATTATGAAATGAATCGCAACAATATCGTGTATGATTGGCAGCGCAATAGAAATCCGTTCATTGACCATCCGGATTTGGTAGAATACATCTGGGGCAATAAAATAGGCGAACCTTGGGAATTATCGTCGAGTACGCTAGCTTTGACGGAGCAATCGGTAATGTCGGTGTTTCCGAACCCAAGTTCAACATCCATAACTATCAAAGGATTGGTGCAGGGCGCCATGGTTGAGTTGGTAGATGTCGGCGGTGTGGTAAGATTTGCACAACGGGTGGATAGCGATACTTTAGTGATAAACTCGGGGCGATTGGAGCGCGGTGTTTATGCTATACGGATGACTATGGCGAGCGGGAAGAAGTTGGCTACAAGAAGGGTAGTGGTGGAGTAAAAAAAATGTAGCCCTCCGTCCACTTTTGGACGGATGAGCTACAAATAATTATAATCTCATGATATAAGCCAAGAGGTAGAAAATTGGCACCAGCAGGCATTAAATCACAACTTTTAATGGTGCTTTGCTAGGTATATGCGTAGTATTATACGTCATCATACTAGCTGTGCCAATTGATACTGCAAAGGTGATAATATTTCCTAATGTGTTAAATAACAATATTTTGTTACTGTGAAGATTGGTTTTAGCAGTGACTTAGGTGTAATGTCCTGCTATTCAATGTGTTGTGATGAATAATTGCGTTGTATTGTGAGCGCAAAACACATTGAATTATTTTTCATTTGTGCAAAAAAAAGTTCAAATTGCTGCCAATCGGACAAAAAAACCTGAAATTTCTTCAAGTTTTTGATTTTTGATAAGGACAGTGGCGGCATTTGCTGCCGCAGCAATAACCTCTTTGGGTAAGAAAATGGCCCGTAAAAACCATGAAATCGCCTTCAAAATAATAGTCTAAACCTTCCTCCAAAACTTGAGGAGTTTTGGAGAAAGGTTTAGTGCTATTTGTTTTTTTGGACTCTGGCGGTGGTGTTTTCATTACAGCTCCGCTCGTAAGGATTTTACTCGATCATCAAAGATATACTCATCGTAGGTGGTTTGGCGATCTATCATACCATTTGGCGATATTTCTATGATTCGGTTGCCCACAGTATTGGTCAACTCGTGGTCGCGACAAGTGAAAAGAATATTGCTTCTAAAGTCACGCATCCCATTGTTGAGTGCGGTGATACTTTCTAGGTCGAGGTGGTTGGTAGGCTCATCGAAAAGCAATACATTGGCGCCTTGCAACATCATGCGGCTAAACATACAACGCATCTTTTCGCCTCCCGAAAGCACCGAGCATGCCTTTAGCGTCTCTTCTCCACCAAACAGCATCCGTCCCAAAAATCCACGCACATAGGTTTCATCTTTATTGTCAGTATATTGGCGCAACCAGTCTATCAAGCTATCATTCGATACAAAGAAGTGGTCGTGTTCGGTAGGCAAATAGGCAGTTGTAACTGTAACACCCCATCTGAAATGCCCTATGAAGTCTGTGTCTTCGCCAGATAGTATATTGAGTAATGCCGTGGTAGCCAACGAGTTACGCGACATAAAGGCTATTTTGTCACCTTTATTGACGGTAAAACTCACGTCTTTGAAAAGATATTCGCCTCCCATTTTTTTGGTGAGTCCATGCACTTCGAGTATTTGGTCGCCTACTTCGCGCGCCATTGAACTATTGAAAATAATCCCAGGATATTTGCGGGTGCTGGCCTGTATTTCGCTGAGGTCTATTTTTTCCAAAGCCTTTTTTCTGGAGGTTGCTTGTTTCGATTTGGAGGCGTTGGCGGAGAATCGGCGGATGAACTCTTGCAACTCCTTTACTTTATCTTCGGATTTCTTGCGTTGATCGGCTGCTTGGCGGGCTGCTAGTTGGCTCGATTCGTACCAGAAGGTATAGTTACCGGAGTATATTTTTATTTTACTAAAGTCGATATCGACGATGTGCGTACATACCGCATCCAAAAAGTGGCGATCATGCGATACAACTAGTACGATTTTCTCATATTCTGCCAAGAAATCTTCTAGCCACACGATGGTATCTACGTCCAAGTCGTTGGTAGGTTCGTCGAGGAGTAGAATATCGGGGTCGTTGAATAAGGCTTGTGCGAGCAAAACCCTTACTTTTTGCTTACCGTCCAATTCTTTCAAGGTCTTGTAGTGCAAGTCTTCCGAAATACCTAGGTTGCTGAGTAAGGATGCTGCATCGCTTTCGGCTTCCCAGCCGTTCATTTCGGCGAAGAGTGCTTCCAACTCGCCTACACGCTCCCCATCTTCATCAGAAAAGTCAGCTTTGGCATAGATGGCATCTTTCTCTAGCATGACGCTGTACAGCTGCTCATGCCCCATCAGTACTGTTTGGAGCACTTCGTTGTCGTTGTAGGCGTTGTGGTCTTGCTTGAGTACAGACATACGCTGTCCTTTGCCCATCGATACCGAACCTGTGGTGGGGTCCACTTCGCCACTGAGTATTTTTAAAAAAGTTGATTTTCCTGCTCCGTTGGCTCCTATCACTCCATAGCAATGCCCTTCTTGGAATTTTAAGTGTACATCATCAAATAATATGCGCTTGCCATAGCGTAATGAAAGGTTTTGAACTATTAACACGATTTACGATTTTACGATTTACGATTTTTTGATTTACGATATTGGGATTTTTGATTTTTTGATTTACGATTGCGTTTTGCGTGCTGCGTGAGGGATAGAAGCGGAAATAGCCATTTTGTTCCTTTTTTCTAAATTCTTTTCGCAAAACAAAGGTGTAGTAGTGCAACTTAGCTACCCTCACTACTGATAAGCGAAGACAAAAAAGGAACGAAATGGCTATTGCAGCGGATAGCCCGACCCAAAAACTGCCCTTCCGGTAAGCCTAAATTTGCGCAATAGACTTTTGGGGCAGTTTTTGGGGCACGCCCTGCAGGGAACATTATTTCCCCTCCGTTTTTAGTTTCTTGAACGCATCAAAGCCACAATCGAGGAACGATTTATACGAATCTACATCGGGCGTGTAAGCCACCGGCGAATTGAGCAGTGTCGTGCCATCATTGTGCATGAGTACGTAGTACGGCTGTGAGGAGGTGCCAAAATTGTTGACCTGGAACTGTCCCCACTTGTCGCCTTTGGTACGCATTTTTTCTTGGGTATTGGGGTCGAGTAGGTATTGAAATTTGTTGTCGGGGAAGAGTCGCGCTTGGTCATCTACATACAATGACACTACAACATAATTGTCGCGTAAATGTTGTATGATGCCGTCGCGATGCCATACGGTTTCTTCCATTTTGCGACAATTGACGCAGCCATGACCGGTAAAATCTACAAAAAGCGGCTTGTTTTGCGCTTTTGCTGCTGCCAATCCTTCATCAAAATCTTTGTAACATTCCAGCGAGTGCGGGCAATCCATCGGGCGGAAGAAGTTGTAGTGCACCGGAGGCGCTATACCGCTGAGGGCAGAAAGGGATTTGTAATTGAAAAGTCCGTCGGCTAGATAAAGTGCGGCGATGGTAGCCAATCCGCCCACGATGAGGCGCGGTACGCCGGGTTTTTTCTCATTGCCTTTCATCTTGATGATTCCGAACTGATAGAGCGCCAAAAGCACCGCCAAAAGCAGCCAAATGCCTATGAAAAGCTCAAATTTGAGGATGCCCCAGTGGCGTACCATATCGGCAGTAGAGAGGAATTTGAAAGCCAGCGCAAGCTCCAAAAAGCCAAGCGTGACCTTTACATTGTCCATCCAACCGCCGCTTTTGGGCAGCGACTTGAGCCAGGTGGGGAAGGCGGCAAACAAAGCAAATGGCAAGGCAAGTGCCAAACCAAAACCAAATAAACCAACCGCAGGCTTGGTAGGAATGAACCCGAATAAGGCTTCGCTTGCCTCGGTGGCTTTGGCGGTTTCTACAAGCAGTGTGCCCACAATCGGTCCCGTGCACGAAAACGATACCAACGCCAAGGTAAATGCCATGAAAAATATGCCCAAAAGTCCGCCTTTATCTGCCATTTTATCGGATTTGTTGACCCAACTGGAGGGCAATTGTATCTCGAAAAGTCCAAAAAACGACAAGGCAAAGATGATAAACACGATGAAAAACAAGAGGTTGAAGTACATGTCGGTACTCATTTCGTTGAGCACACGCGGTCCGAAAATGACTGTCAAGCCAATGCCCATAGCCGTGTAGATGGCTACGATAAAGAATCCATACCACAACGCATTGCGAAAGCCAACGGATTTGTCTTTGCTGCCTTTAAGGAAGTAAGTGACTGTGAGCGGTATCATTGGGAATACACATGGCGTGAGCAGCGCAACGAGACCTCCCAAAAAACCGGCGACGAAAATCCAAAACAAAGATGAAGATTCTTCCGCTGTGGTGCCACAATTATTGACAAAGCTATTGGAATTGATGGCAGCACGCTTTGAATCGAAAAATCCTTTGAAATTTTCATCGTTTGGTGGCGTCGGCAATACAGCAGCGGTATTGGCTGGAGCGGTTTCTTGCTTTGTGGTATCGGCAGGTACAGTTATACCTGGTATTACCGCAGGAATGTTTACGGCTGTTTCACCGTTTTTTTTTTCGTTGGGCTGAGGCGTATTGCCGTTAGCTTTTTCGTTGGGTGCGGGCGGATTGGTGGCTCCAGGCTTTGTAGGTGCAGTAGCGGGTGGTGTGGTGCCCCCTGCAGGCGCGGCTGTGGGGAGCGTAAAATTGAAATCCACATCTTTGGGAGGATAGCACATCTCATCGTTGCACGCCATGAAAGATAGATAACCTTTTATTGGTTTGGAGCCATCGAGTACCTTTACTTTTTGGGTGAAAATGGCTTTGTGCTTGAATTTTGTGAGATTCATGCCGAAAACCTTGTCATATACGGAGATTTTCTCGCCGCTTTCTACAGCTTTGCCGATAAGTTGGTAGTGGCTGCCCGGCTCGAAAGTGATGGACGTAGGTATAGGACCGTCTTCGCTCTCTAAAAATTGTGAATAGGTATAAAATCCATCATTGATAGTGCCGGTAAAAATCAAGTTAGCTTCACCCGGAGAGACACTCTCGGTGCTAAATGACCATTTTACTACGTTTTGGGCTTGCGCGCCTAAACTGAAAAGCAAAAACGATAATACAAGAATCCAATTATTCTTCATTTTTAAAGCTGTTTTTATTCAAATTATACGATGTTTTCGAATCGTGGTGCAAAGTAACAGCTTTTTTTTCTTATATTAACTAAAGGTTACGTTAAACAAAGTTAAGAAAATCGTAATTGTTGGGGCTGACTATCGAATAATATTCATTTTTCTGACGAAAATGGAATTACTGTTGGTGATTTGTAGAACATAAAGCCCTGCGTTCAATGGCGAAACGTTGATTTGTTCTAGCGCTAGCTCCAGGGTTTGTGTCAACACCAGCCTTCCATCCGCAGTGAAAATATGACAAACGGACTCGCTTGCGATACCCTCAATTGTTACTTGATTAGTCGCCGGATTGGGGTAGATGTTTATCGCATTGGAGGGGTCATTGTTTGCGACAGCAACGCTAGGTAGCAATTTTTTCTCTTCCACATTGAGCACTTCATCCTTTTGGTGGTCAGCCGACACCCGATATACGTATGCTACGATACTAATATCTTGGGTTTTGTAGGTACTCGGCACGGTGTACTGGAAATTAGTCGAAAACGAAGACCCCGCCACTGGAGTAGAGGCAATCACGCCCGGCTGCCCCCAAGCACTTGGAAGTACAGCACGCGCCACATGGCGATGCATATATCCGACTATCGGATTGCCAAGTCCGTAGAAAGGGCAGTTCGGAAAATCATCGAAAGTATTGTATTGGTCGTATCCATATCCTAATCCCGACACATAATCTTCTACGATATACATGCCAAAACGGTAGTCGCCCGTAGGCAAATCGCTTAAAATATGCGCAGATACCGTTGCATTGATCTTTCTTGTAGCACTATTCCACGTAAAATCGAGGTCAACCTTCACTTCAGGAGCCTCCTCAAGCCTTGTCAGTATATTTTCCTCCCATTTGTCTCCGGTATCGGCTACCCAACCGATATTTATGGTAGTGTCAAATTTTACCCTATCTACATTTGCTGTTGGCGCGCCCATGGCATAAGTATCGCCTATGGTGTCACCATTTATAGTGAACATTTTGTCCATGCCGTAATTGTGTACCGTTACCCCAACCACATTTGGATAGGTATCTACCAATTGATTGAATAAATACGAACCCATCGGACAGCCCGAACAAGCCGTACCCGTGAATTCCTCGAATAGGACTTTCTTGGTTTGTGCAAAGGATGTTTGCACTGAAACTAGACAAATAATGACCCTTATGATTAGCTTTTTCATGTTTTATATGGTTGGAAGTGAGCAGATATGGGATAGATGATATCTGGTGGGAAAACGATGCACGGGGGGAGGGGTTTTTCCTGAAAATTAATCTTAAAATATTTTGGAAATATTGAGATGTAATATAAATTTGCGTCTACAACTCAACATTACAATAAAATATCAACTCATTATGAAATCAATTGCACTTTTGTTTTTCTTTCTAATTATTACCAATTCAGTTCAAGGGCAAGAGGTTTACACGGGTAATTTAATTTTTTATACTCAATCTCTTATTGATAATTTTTTAGTCAATAACCCAACGGTTACGAAAATTGTTGGTAATGTTGAGATTCAATCTGATTTTTTTAACAGTATTACAAACCTGAATGGATTGTCTAATATTTCTTACATTCAAGGCAGCCTAGAAATCGAGAACAATAATTTATTGCCAAGTTTAGAAGGGCTTGCCATGCTAGATTCTGTCTCAGGTGATGTTTTTATCGTGAATAATGATTCCTTAAATGCATTGGTTGGATTGAATAACCTAACCAAAGCCAAAGCATTGAAAATCTACGGAAACGCTAAATTGTTGCATCTCGATGATTTGACCTCATTGGCAACCCTAACCGAAGGATTGATCATTCAATATAATCCTAATTTAGCTGATATTTCGAGTTTTAATAATATTACGACATTAAAAAGCATTCAAATTTCAGATAATCTTTCCTTAACTACAATTTCTGGCTTCAATGGACTAAATTTTGTAACTACTGGTTTATTTATTGAAAGTAATGATAATCTTATTTCAATTGAGGGGTTACACTCTTTAAAACATACGACAGGTACTATCAATATTTATGGGAATAATAACCTACAAAGTCTAACTGGGTTAGATTCACTAATTTCTACAAGAGTTCTAACAATTGAAGGAGGGAATCAAATTCTATCCCTTCATGCCCTGAAATCTTTGACGCATACTATAGGTGCTTTTAATATATTTGGTAATATAGTTTCGCTTGAAGGCTTGGAAAATTTGACTAGTTCGGCGGGTCTAAACATAGCATCCACAAAATTGACTAATTTGAATGGGTTGAATAACTTTCAGACTGGA